TGCTCTCAGGTTCCTGGTCAGCAGGCCTGGACCAAGCAGCTGTGTATTGGCCTGGCCCCAGGTCCCCAATCCCTGGGGACTGACTCACTGAGGAGAAATGCAGTCCCCAGCCAAGGCAGCCAGCAGAGGCAGGGGGAGGGTTCAAGCATCCCCTACCCCCACCATTTGGGAACTGTGTGGCTGCCCCCTGCAAGGCCGTGGGAATGGTCTCTTTAACTGTCCTGTCCCCCAGGGATCAAAATACCTTGGGCTGGTCCTGCCACAGTGGCTGGAGGACAGCAGCAGGACCCTGGAGCCAGGACCCCACCTTCTGCTTGCTGAGTGATCCCCTTGAAGTAATGGGGTCTTCAGAAAAGGATTGGCATAGAGTAGGAGCTCTGTACATGTGTCCATGCCATCCTTAGCCTATGTTTTCATCATTACTGCTCCCTCTCCATCTCTGTCTACCACAGACCAGGGGCTGCTGTATCAGCAGAGTAACAGACTCTGGACTTCCTGCCAAGCAAAATATGTGTCCAGTTCCTTGAGATGGGGAGCTCAGCATCTCATAGAGTATTCGTTCCAGCAGAAAATCCTTTCTCAGATGGATCAGGGGAGGAGTTAGCGCCCCCCCTCCTGAAGCCCCTACCTTTGCCCCAGGTTCTTTTCTGGACCCCAGCCTCCCAGAATGGTACTAAAGAGAGAGGTCTAAGCCCCTGTAGTGGCTGCTTTGGGCGGGTATCTCAACTCTTTCAGCCACTTCCTAAGTCAACAAACCCTCCCATGTCACCTCTTCTGTTCCCACTCCATGCTGGATAATGCTGGATAATGCCTGGCCCCTGGGGAGCTCCCAGTCTAGAGAGGAGACAGAGCAGCCTTGTGGACAAGGCTGAGCTGGAGGGCAGGAGGGCACAGGTAAAGCCTGGGGTGGCAGAGGTGTTGGGCCTGGGGGCGGGGGAGGGGGAAGGAGGCTTCCTGGAGCTGGAACTTTGAAGAATAAACAGTTCACCAGGTACAGGAATGAGGGGAGGGAAGTCATGCTAGAAAGAGAGACCAGAATGAGCAAAGGGGTGGGATGTGTGGGAAACAGCAGAGCATGCTTTATATAACTAGAAGAAAATGCATCTTCAAAGAGAGCACGTTTCCTGTGAGTTCCTGCTTGGGAAGGAAGCAAAAGGGTCCTCTGTCCAACTGGTTGTCCCAGGCGGAGGGCAAAGGCTGGGAGAGTGCCAGGCCTGCTGGGTGAAGATGAAGTTCGGCTCAGTCTGATGGTGAGGGGGGCAGGAGGGGCCAGAGAGGGTCAGGCCCCCTCCACAGGGCTGGGGGACTTAGGTTTTCTCCTGGAGTGGTAGGCATGGGCAGGACTCAAACTATGCCTGACCCATGGGCCTGTTGACTCAGCACACTCCTTGTGAGTCATACTGTGCCTCTTCTTATGCAACTTTAGTCTTTTTTTCTTCCCAATCCCCAATCCCACCCCAACCCCTCACACTCCATGTGACCCGGAGTCACTCAGACCTGGGGTCCAATCTCAGCTCTTCCTTTCGAAGCCTCCAGCAAGTCACCATACGATGGGTTTGTACCCCCCCCCCCACACATAACAGGGGACAGCTCTCCTCCCAGATGAGGGTTGGGGGTCATTTCTGATGCCAGGCCTTGGTCAGTCATTCAACTTTCACCCTTGGCTTTTCATGCTTCTCCTTTCTGTCTAATGGTACTTCTCTGCCTTCTTCATCTCTTCCTCTTCCTCTTCCTGCGTTTAAAAATCATCCAAGGTACTGTGGATGAATGAATAAGCAAAATGCAGCCTAGTCATTCAGTGGAATATTACTCAGCCACAACAGGAACCGAAGCACTGACACACACTACAGTATGAATGAACCTTAAAAACATCATGCTGCAGGAAAGAAGCCAGACACAAAGGCCACTTGGTACATGATTCTAGTTATATGACATGTCCAGAACAGGCACATCTATAGACACAGAAAGCAGATTAGTAGTTGCCAGGTTTAGGGAAGAGGAATGGGGACCAACTACCAATGGATATGGGGTCTCCTTTAGGGGTGATGAGAATGTCTTGGAACCAGACAGAGGAGATGGTTGCACTAAATGCCACTGAACTGTACACTTTAAAAAGGTAAGTGGTTGTCTGGCTAACGTGGCTCAGCAGTTGAGTATTGACCTATGATCCAGGAGATTGTGGTTTGATTCCGGGTCAGGGCACATGCCCGGGTTTCAGCTCGATCCCCAGTTCGGGGGAGTGTGCAGGAGGCAGCCGATCAATGACTCTCTCATCATTGATGTTTCTCTCTCTCTCTTCCTCTCCCTTCCTCTCTCTGAAATCAGTAGACATATATTTTTTTTAAAAAGGTAAGTGGTTAATTTTATGTTATGCAAATTTTGCCTCAATTAAAAAAAATCACCAGAGGAAATCATTAACAAATGCCAAAAACAGTGGGTGGAAATTTGATGGGCACAGGATATTCACACAGTCTCAGAGTACCTCCCCACATGATATTGATATGTATTTATTATGGGGGGGAAGAGAATGGTATTTTTACAATAAGGAAATTTGGCCAACTTCACTTGACATTTAACATCAACAATGTGAACGCGTGTCAGATGCTTCCTGGTAGGATGCACCCAGGAGGACGAGCCATTCTGCCAAAGACACACAACCTGAACCTGGTTAGGGGGAACCAGCAGGCCAAGTGAATCTGTGAAACAACTGACCTTGATTCTCCAGAAATGTCAATGTCATGAAAGACACAGAAAGGCTAAGGAACTGATTCAGATTAAAGGACAAGAAACATACATGCTGTAGAGGATATTATTGGGGCAAAAGAAAACTTTGGATATGGACTGAGTGTGAAATTGTGGTGTGCTTAGGTAAGAGAATGCCCTTATTCCTAGGGAACACACAGTGATCAGAGGAACATGATGTCTGCAACTTGTTCTAATCTGTCTATCATCTATCTATCATCTATCATCTATTTATCTTCACATATATATACAATTTACATATATACATATATGCAATTACAAAGCAAATTTGGCAAAGTGTGGGTAAATATGGACTAAGGGCATATAGAAATTGTATGCATTTAAAAGCATTTTAAAAGTTTTATTCCTGGCTGGTGTGGCTCAGTTGGTTGAGTGTTTTCCCATGCACCAAGAGGTCACCGGCTTGATTCCAGGAACATGCCTGGGTTGCAGGCTTGGCTGATGGATGTTTCTCTCTCTCTCTCCCTGTCTCCCTTCCTCTCTCTCTAAAATCAATTTTAATTAAAATAAAAAGTTTAAAAATTGCCCAAAATTCTCTGGGGTGCCCATGTGACTATCTCCAATCATGACTCCTCTATGCTCAGCCCCAATGTTCAGCTGCCTCCTGGGTGATCCCCAAGCTCCTCAGATTCAGCACCTCACCCCCAACCTCCTCCCTGCAGCCTCATCACCAAGCCAAATACCAGGGGGCCAGCCTGACCGCTTTCTCCTTCTTATGGCCAGCCCCAGCCCTGGACTGCCCATTCTCCCTCTGGACTCTGCCCCGTCACCTGGGTGCAGGACTGTCCCTCTGCTGGGGTGTCATCCCTCCAGTTTATCCAGGCTGAGCCCGGTTGGATCCTCCTCTGGGAAGTCCTTTCTGGGGGTAGAAGGTGCATCTGGCCCCTGGAACAAAGCCAGACACAGAGCTGGAGCTTTATACCTATTTGTTGAATTAATGAGTGAAGAAATAAGGAACCCACCCTTCAGGCAGGGCCCTCACCAACCTCTCTTCAAGCCCTCCCCAGACTCTGCCTCTTCCTCTGTCCCAGCCGGGAGTCCACAGTGCTCAGGGTGTCTGCGTGTGGCTTTTTCTTCCAAGAATGACAGCTCCTCCAAGGCTGGGCTTGTGACCTTTCATGGGTGCCCATTCTCGCCTTAGGGACATTTTGGAAAAGGCAGTTGATCAAACTGAGTGGCAGAGCTGTGTGGGGCATGGGTTGGGGCTGGGGGGCTCGGGTGGACCTTTGGGGTTCACACAGGGTTGTGAAGAGGCAGAGGAGTAGGAAGTGTGCATGTGCGCCTTTGCCGTGTGCATCAAATTCCTCCCAGCTCGCGTCCGAGGTCTGAGGCGGGACGCGGCCCAGGCTCAAGGCTTGGCTGGGCCTGAGTTTCAGGTTCTCCAGTGTTTCAGATGTTAAGCTCCCGTGAAGTCCTGTGCGGGTGTCTGCATTCGTGCACGGTGGCGCGTTCCTGAGCCTCTCAGGATGCGCCTGGTGTCTGGGGGTCTGTGTGTGTCCTGGCCTGTGCGTCGGCTCTGGGTGTGCTGGGAGCAGGGATGATCACCGGGCTGGTGTCTGCCACTGCCGCTGGTCGGTCCGCATCTTCCCGCGTGGGCCCGCCTGAGTTTCCGAGGGTCCGCGGGTCCCGCGCTGTGCGGACGGGTGGAGGGTGGGCAGGGGCCCTGGG